GGAAGGCTGGGGGCTTTTTTGTTACAGTTGCTTTCTGAGCCACACAGAACTTGCCCTAAACTAGCATCAAAGAGTGAGCAAAGAGGCAATAGTCCTAGCATTAAGTTTTGCGACAATATGGTGTCTAGTATTTATGTCATGCTATTTATAAACTACATTTCTACACTGACATAAGGAAAAAACTCTTGTCATTGTACTGCTGGAAATCATCCCACAACAGTATTTCAAATCAGCTCCCACTTGCAGATATTTAATGAAAGAGAGATAGTGCTAATTATAGAATGATGACACACAATTTCTTACTGCTATAGACAGTTTTAAGATCAGAGTTTTGAGTCACTTCATTCTAACTTGTGTGTTTGGATCTAATTTGTATTTGCAAAGACATAAGGAAAGTTAATGACATGCATCTCATAGATAACTACATAATGAATTCAGTATTTAATTCATGTCTGCTTAGCTGCCTGCTAGCCACTTCCTGGCTATCTAGTCCCAATGCTATTATGCATTCTCAAGAGGAAAAAAAAAAATCACATAGAGTCCACGAAGACATTGTAAAATATAATCAAACAAATTATTTTATTCAAATGTAGGAAACAGATGAAACAATGACTAAAAATTCACGTTAGTTTACATCCTCTCGCCTATCCCCAAATTATTTTCTCACTAAGGAAAAATGAGAAACATGCCATTTCTCACATATGATTTGCTCTCCTGCAAAACAGCCCAAAGTAGGAAAATACATTTTAATAATATTCCTACAGTTACATTCACACTTGCTTACGTATCTTCGTATTTGAATTTTCTTACTGGCTTAGGATTATTTCATAGAATCATAGAATGGTTAGGATTGGAAGGGACCTTAAAGATCATCCAGTTCCAACCCCCCTGCCATCAGCAGGGACATCCTCCACTAGATCAGGTTGCTCAAAGCCTCATCCAGCCTGGCCTTAAACACTTCCAGGGAGGGGGCATCCACAACTTTCCTTGGGCAACCTGTTCCAGTGCCTGACCACCCTCACAGTGAAGAACTTCTTCCTAATATCTAATCTAAACCTGCCCTCTTTCAGTTTAAACCCATTTCCCCTTGTTTTGTCATTAATTGCCCTTATGAAAAGTCCTTCCCCAGCTTTCTTGTAGGCCCCTTCAGGTACTGGAAGGCCGCTATAAGATCTCCCCGGAGCCTTCTCTTTTCCAGGCTGAACAGTCCCAACTCTCTCAGCCTGTCCTCATAGGAGAGGTGCTCCAGCCCTCGGATCATCCTGGTGGCCCTTCTCTGGACTTGTTCTAACTGGTCCATGTCTTTCTTATGTTGGGGGAATTCATCTGCAATTTATTCCCCTCAGAAGTTTCATGCTGAATAGACACATAATGCTAACAGAAAGAACAGAGTATCACACACTGTCATGTTCTTCCCATAACTGATGACAAAATTTTTATAAGCATATTAAGAGCTTTAGTAAGAAGCAACTGTTATAATAACCACAAGCAGATTTCTAAGCACTGACATTAAGGTGTTTTGTTTTAATAAAAAACTACTAGATGACAAACCATAAGATTTCATCAATAAGTATTTACAAACGTGTATGTCAACAGTGACATCTCATGCAACCAGTACTTGTTAGCTATAATCAGCTAAAGCTATTGACCTAAAAACCATGAACAATATAATAAGATTCTACTAATTATGTTTGTAGAAAAATTCTGGACTGGCATCTCAGGAGTACTAACTGTAAGTTATTTAGCACAACAGGCAAATGCCAATCAGAAGTAAAGGAGCCGTTGACATAAAGGATCTGAATTGTAACTGTTGACAGAAATACCTCTTGAAATTTAAGTATGGGCTTCTTTATCTTTTCCTGTATGAAATCTCAGTGGGACTTAATTAATATACTGTAGGTATTCTACAGCCTTCAATAATCCAGAGAGTCACAAAACTTCTTTCTTTCTCCTCCAAATTTAATTTTACACTTCTTCCAAGGATGAAATAAAAGGGTGGAGAGTCATTTATGTATGTAGATCATCTCTTCTGTCTTTACAGTATCATTTATTATATAGTCTTAAAATCCAAGGTATTGGATTGACAGGATTAATAGAATTGTTATGTTTACATTGCATTTATTGTGGTATTTTCCTCTCAAAACAAGATCTGCTACATTCCTCCATTTTCTGGTGCAAATACACCAATACTGTAAATCAACGTGTTTGGAACAGAAAGTACAGTTCACATAGAAGATTAATGTTACCAGAAACTATCAAGGTGGCCATTAAAGGCTGAGGTGCATGATAACATGCTTTCGAAGTCATCACATCATTAAGTCATCACATGTAAGCTCTAAAAACTAACGTCTGACTTTATAATTATATTCTTAATCTCACTGAACTTAACTTTTGGGATACACGAATCCAGATGTGTGCAACTGCATTCAGTTACCTTTTTGCTTTGACACTGTTCCAAAAATCATTTAACTCTGCTTCCTCGAGGAAAATGCTACGTTAAACAAAAACGATGCAACATCTGGTTGGAGAAAAACAGTTGTTCTCAGCATTCATTAGCACTGTTGTTTGAGGAAATTGTTTGAATGAATGATCTAACTGCTAGATAAAAAAGCAGAAATAGCAGCCATTTATCCCTGCCTGATGTTTCCAGATTAAATGAAAACCTTTAACTATGACCACCACACTTTATTATTACTGAATATTTATATATACACTAGAATTCCCTCTGAATTTCATACTATTTCAAGGCTATCCTTAAATAATTGCATATTACCGAATTGAAGATTCTCCTTCTAAAAATTATATATATTCAGGCTGTTCATTAACACTGTTAGCTACCTGATGGTTCAGGGGATAAGTACATACAGTAACTTGCTTAAATCTTAACCAGTATTTAAAAGGTTAAGACCTACTTTTTAACTATGCCTTATTTAAGAGGAGTCATTCATTTATGCCTAACACAGGAATACACAGAAGCCAAATAATTCAGCCTTCTCTATATTATCCACTGCTCACTGTTTTCGCCTTGTTAAGGGAAAGAAAAAAAAGCAGCTATTTTTATCTCTTCCTTCCTCTTTCCTCTTCTGCATTTACCAAATCTTTTCTTCCCAACTCACTTCTCTGCTAGCTGCAATTCATTTGCAATTTGGTTTTCCTGATTTTATCACTTCATGCTCTAAAACTATTTCCTGTTTTTTCACTTTTTTTTTTTTTTACTTTCAGGTCTTCAGAGAGCTAATTTTTTTGTTATTTCTGTATTTCCTCTGCATACTACTCTGCATTTAACATAAAGAAGTGCCATCACATCAACTAAATGTACCCATATCTTACAATGAGGTAAAGAAATTACAGTATCCACTGTCACCAAGTTTTCCTTCATCCTTGATTTTCCACAAGTGCTCTCCAGAGTTCTGCCTTGGTAACAACTTAGGATTGTACCATTCACAGTCACTATTCCCTGAAGTACGAGTTTTTCACAGTAAGAATGAAAAAAGAAACGGTGCTTCTTGTCAGTACTAACAGCACTTATACTTCTTAAAAAGCATAGGAAGGCAATCATAGTCGCAGCACTGTGAAACCAGTTTATATAAACATCAGCATTAAATTGTCTTTTGAATTCATTCCTGAAACAAGCAACCTCTTTTAGGAGCTAACAAGTATAAAATATTGTTATGGATGTTTTGGAAATCATCCTTACGTTGTCATTTACTCTCTCAAAGCATCAGACTGAGGTATACCTTTTCTGGCAAACTGCTTCCTGCTGGGAGCATGAAGCAGTTGCATGTCCAGTTTATGGGCTATTTTATTCTCAGGAAAGTCATAAAATGTCTGGGGAAAACTTTGATCCCATTTCTGAAAGCAAGAAAATTACCTACATTCAAAGAGCCCATGGGGAGAGAAGGGTGATTGCTCAGCTTACTTCTAGCAGGCAGACACAAGAGAAATAGAGAGGGTTTCCATTTCAAAACAGTGTTATGAGAAGCAAGGAAATTGAGCATGCTCAGCACCAATACAAGAACTGATCCTCAATTTCCTTTAGGATTTTGCTCAAGCCTGATGTTATCCACTTCTGGCAAACGAACCATGTGACACTGCACAAGGTTTCATTTTAAAATAATTTGTGTGTGCTGGTACTAGATTCTTGTATCTAATTGAGAAGGTAAATCACCAGCAGATAGCTACAACATGTTGCCTTGACATATATTAAAAACACCTCTAGCCTTTCTTTACTTGGTGTAATACTGTAAAAGTCATTGTAACCAAGTCTACATTCCCTCCTATTCAGTTTCCTCTCTGAGGCAGGTGCCTAGCAAGGAGACACCTACTTACACATCTGCAAATTACTTGCCGAATTATAAAAGCCACCTCCTCAAACTTACGAGACAGAACTGTGCTTTGCCTTTTCTCCTTAGTGAACAGTGCAGTAATCCCAAGTAAGTGGCATGTAAAGCTGTTATGTATCTGTAATCACATTTCAATGTTTTACTGGTTGTAAATAACATGCACGAGTGCTCCAAGGACCAAATTGCTCTTTTGCTGCCAACATTAGTTGTTTAATGATCTGAAGAGCAGAAGCTGCCAATAATTGTATCCCATTTTAAAGTGTCATTTAAAGCCACACTTTAATTGTTATACTTTTGTTGTAAATTTATGCTCTTAGCTAGAGAGCTCTAGGCATATAACTTGTAAGGTCCAGGAAGAGCTACTGATAATTACTTATCAATTTCATCAATGGAAAAATATAATGTTCTTTGCATGTTTACTGCCTACCACACAGCATCCACTTCGCCAGTAGTTCCCAACCATGGAGAGAGGCCTGAAGTACCTTACACGAAGCATGGCACAGCCTGGTTCTGCCAGACTTGCCCTGACTTCAAGGGGTCTAGACAAGTGCATAACAATGACTCCTCCTAAGAAGTCTCAGTCTGAAATGGTCAACAATTGCTCTAACACACGATGTTAGTCATCAATGTTAGTCCTTCTTGGCACTTAAAACTTACCTGAAACAGCCAGCATTTTGGCTTCAAGTAGAGCTGGTAGTTGACTCTCAATATCACTCACTTTCCTCCTCAAAGTACTGCAGAGTTTCTGACTTGTACAAACCTAGATTGAGGCAGACAGCCATGATATATAATTCATTCATGTAAAAGTATAAGGCAGTTTAAATGGGCTTCAAATGTTATCGGTTTACAGACAAGACATAACATCCTACAGCGAGGTGAAGAAGCTTAATAAAAAGTGATGGCCTTATAGAAGTACCCAACATGAATCAAAATTTCCAGGCTTCGCCACACATTCTATTATAAAAATAGGGAACGGTATTAGCATTAGCTACCCGCATGAGAGAGGACATATTTCACTACTAGATACTGAGGCTGCACAAAGAAGAAATACCGGCTTATGAATTCTGTGCAGTTTCATCATTAACAGTGATGCCTGGAATGGAGCATAAATAAGCCAACGTTTGGAATTTAAGATATCATAACACAGAATGTATAACAATTTTTATACAAAATATACTGTGCCACACACTTTAACTGAAAAAAAAGGCAAAGCAGCCACCATTAATTTTCTGCACAGGCAATAAATGGTTTTGCTAGGACAGAGTTAATTTTGCCTGCTAGCCAAGTGAAACCACCACAGTTTCACAATCAGAAGACACAGCTGACTGGGGTCAAGGTTTCTGTCTTTTACTCTCTTTCTTTTTGGTCTTTTTAACCAAGTTTCTTCAGCAATTAATCAGGACTGGTATTAAAAACATGGAGAGAGACAGGAGAGAAAAAGAAACGAAATTCAACCATTTCTGTATTTTACACTTAAGCATACATTAACAATTCATACAACTCCCACATATTAAAAAATGTTGATTCTTACTCAATACTGCATCATTTGTGAAGGAAAGCAAAATGAACAAACAGAGAAATCCCTCATCAAGCTAAGGCAAATCTCTTGTTCTGAAGGCAGGCATCAAACACTTGCTTAAAATTGTAGCTGACACTTGAGAAAACATTACATTCATTGGAACCAAGGGTAAAGCAATAGTCAAGAGAGGTACAGGCCAGTTGTGAAGAGATGAGATGTGAAATGAAATCTCCAGGGGAAAGTTTCCCTGCCCTCCTTGACTTTTTTTCTCCTCCCTCAAAAACAAGTGCTTATTAACAGAAGCACAGTTATCATTTAAGAGCAAAAGCCTTATAGCTCAATGGCTCATTTGTACAATTAAAGTGTAATAATTCAGATATGACAACTGCAAATCCTTTTAAATGGATAATACCCTCTTGCTTTAGCTGAGAGCATCTGTTAACCATAAATGGGTCATATTTTTTCTTGAGTCAACAGAACTATCCTCCAAGCAGTAACTTTTACTATCTAAAGACTTCATAGTCTTCTTATTAATTTAAAAACACATCTATCATCACTTCTACACCTATCATAATTCTTCAATTCCCAGATATTTCACTCTGTTTCAGTACCCCCTAAGTGGCCTGCCTACTAATTCAAATAAAATGTTTTAAAAAACCCAAATCTGTCAGAGGTGAATAAACACACCCAAAGAACCCAAAGGCCATTTCTGTCTCACATCTCCAAAATACATCTGAAAGTTTTTAATGACTTCTTTCTAAGCAACACTCACTCTTTAGGAGTACTGAATGGCTCAGTGAATTGCAATTAGATAGGGAATCTTTCAGCTCCAGGAAAACCGCATGAATATATCCCATGCTGGTAGTAACTTAAAGTCATTACCAGTAGACAGCTGTTTGGCAATCATGCAAAATAAGCTGGGAGGTTTAATCAGTTTCTAGTGAACATTGTCCACTTTGTAAGCACTACTGTCAAAACGAAGCTCACTGGCACTCTTTATTAATGGGCCAAATGGAGGAACCAGAGGCTGAAAGGAAGTTCCTCTAGCTGGCAGAGATGATTCTTCTGGAATATGAGATAAGTGCGTTACCAAGCCTCTGCTTGTATCTATGTCACGTGTATTCTCTAGATAAATGAACAACATTAATCTTCAGAACTATCATATGGCATAGTTTGACAAAACTAAATGAGCAGCTGGGAGAGGCAAAATAATATAATATCCTCTAAACTAATAGCATTGCTTCTACATTACATCAGCTCTACTCTACAAGCTCCAATTCTTTTAATTTTTTATAATTATTTTATCTTAATAACAGCTACCATTATGCATTATAGTAGCTTATTCAGCCACTGAGAAAAGGTTATTTCTTAGCTAACAAAGATAATGAACATTCACAAAGCCAGCATCCTCCTTTGCTGCTGGGGATCATGCCACCCTCCCCTAACCAGTCTGACTGCAAGCGCCTGTGCCAGGGGCCCCCGCAATGCCCTTTCCCTCTTCTCAGTCACCAGCTCTGCTGCAGCCCATGGACCAACAAGCTCCAAGTCTAAAAATAAGTCCCTTTCAGTTTCAGAGCTGTTCTTTACAGCCAGATATTACTGTATCTATTTAAAAATTCTCTTCAGTGGTTTGTGGGGGATTTTTAAAGCAGATTTTTTTTTTTTTTTTAAAAAGGCTATTGTTTAGGAATATACCTCACAAATCTGTGTTCCAACACATAAATACTACTCAAAAAAAGCTGTCTTATCTGAAATCAGTAGGATGCTGGTTAGCAAAGATATGTGGAATCAAGATGAAAAGCAGCAAAATATCAAAAGCAAATTTGCCCATTGTATGTTCTTCCATCTTGCCAGCACATGTTAATCTAAAGCAGCAGAAACAGGGACAAGGACAATAACTAAAGCACTGAAATTTACTCTTCCTCCAACCATCTGAAGAAAAAAGTTTTGAGTAACCTTCACATTTCTTTACAAGAACACCTTGAAAAAGATAAGATAAATTCTCTTGGCACTGCCTGAAGAAAAGGACAACCCACCTGGATCTCCCATACAGCACAATCATGCCATTAGCAAAAGGAGAAGAAAGGTGGTGGATAAGGGAGATTATTCCCTTCATTAACCAGCTAATCTTAGCTTTTGCAGCCTCAGCTGAAAACAACATGGATGAGGCAGAAAAGGCCATATAAATACTAGTGGCACAGGGGAAAAGAAAAGACCTTTGACAAAGTAGTGTTTTCCCCATGCAATGAAAAGGTCTAAAACATCAGCTCTATTCAGTTTGAGAAGAAAATAATAGGATGAGTTGATCTGAATAAATAAAACAATAAATTATTTGAAGGAGTCTCATTTCATGCTTCCTATTTACCTTCTCTAATAAATAAAAGCCATCACATATGAATAGAATGAAATTTAAATAATATTTTATCTCTCGAATTTTTAAAGAAACAAATAGGCTGTGGAATTCTACCTCACAGACTTCTCAATTGTCACCCAATGTTTCAGCTCTTATTGAAAAAGTCTCTAGATACTAAGGTTATAAAATAAAACTTTAAAAGGCATACATTTTCAGGGGAGAAGGCAAAAATCTGTAACTTATGTTTTAGCTTGCAGATAGCTTGAAACAACACATCAGTCTGAGGTACGAATGTCTCATTCATTTTAGCAGATGAGCTGTAGGTCTATTATAATCTTTTCCCTTATACTTTATTCACAGTCATTTAAAAAATACAGGGGTGGAGTACAAAGTTATAACGGTCTATACTAGTTTTTTCCCAAGATGTGTGCATAAGCAAGGAATAGAGGAGAATTACCTCAAAATAAAGTAGGGGAGAAGGAGGGAGGGGTATTGAGATGTAGTTTTTAAATGGTCTTTTTAACAGTGCATGCTGCAAGTGTTGGTCAAGGTGAGTAGGAAGAATAGATTATAAATAATACAATTTTCAGTAATTTTGGTGAGTGAAAGAACACCAAAACCAAACAGTTTCATGTTCTTTCTCTAAAGAACATGAAAAACAAACTTATTTCAGAGTATAAATTAATTACTGATCAAAACATAAATATTTTCCACTCCCTGTTCCATATGGACTTATATGAACTACCTACAATAAATGGACCTTTTTTCCTAGAGCGCTCCTGGAGTAAAGTGCTGTGTCTCACTGAGCCCTTCTGAAATAAAAATAAAATTTTAGTATTATCTTTCTTGGAAGGAGGCCACGAGAAATACGAAAATTAAAGGAAAAGTATTACCATCTCTGGTTAGAAACAAAAGGTATCCTAAATACACCACATCACTCTTCTTTTTGTTTTTAAAGGAGGATGAGAATTAGATTGTTAGTTTATTATTAGTGAAAGGACAGGGAAAAGAGGTACTTCATTTATGCTCTTCCTTCACACCAACAAAAGCAGCCAGCTAGGAGAGGAAGATGCTCTGTATTAAGAGTGAAAACATTCAGCTGTGACTCCAGTTCGCTTTCATTTCATGAAGCTAAGAAGCCTGTTTCTAAATGGAGACCAGTGAGAAGACTGATCACTAGTAAACACAAGCCAAGAAACAATAGGTTACTCCATCTGCTTCCTTAAGCATAATCTCTGTGGCCTGTCCAAATATAAGTTGGGGGTTTTTTTGGAGTGTATGCTTAAAAATATTTACATGCAAAATCTGTTTAGAAGAAAAACCACAAAACCAACTTTCTAAAACACAGACAATTTATTAAGATGCAAGCTACAATCTGCTTCTCTAAATATTCTGAAGAACTGAAAACTGATATGTACTTACTTTGGCAGTAGTTTCTTTAATGGACATGCTGAATGATTGTTCTTTTTCCTGAAGGCTAGAAGGGATTAAAATAAAAATAAAATAAAGTTGACCTTTGCTCATCACGGTCTGCTACACAACACACATTTTCATATGGAAGTGTACAGGCTTTAAGACAACTCATACTAACACAAAAGAGCCAATACCAAGATAAAATCTGTATATTTTGTTTCAGTGTTGCTAGTGACTAACCAAAATTTTGGTGACTAACCACCCAATTTCTACTCACTTAATCCTGTTTGTTTGCAAAATGGTTTGTACACTAGCTTTACAGTTCTTAATGAATGAGTTTATATACATTTTACTTACCATCTGAAATACAATTATGATTATTTTTGTAACCATAATATCTTAGAAGTTCCCAGTAGTGTCCAGAAGCAGTGCTTTGCTAGGCTACCATCCTAACACCTAACACAAAGGTGTTTCTGACACAGAGAGTCTGCAGTTAACTGTCTTCTTATAACCCCATTTCCAACTCTGCAAGGAAAAGTTCAACTGCAGTCACTTGTTCTCATGGTAATTTTATATGAAATATCGCTACTCTGTGTAGTTTAATAAAAACCTACAAAATATTTGTACCAAATTGATTCAACAGTAGGCTGAAATTGAGGAATTATCCATGCTTATATGAAAAAATTCAAGGTGTTCTTCCATATATAAAAGCAGGTAGGTTTACTACCCTGATATAGTAAACCTGTGTCTTTGGTGCTTGTAAACAAATTCACAAGTTACATTTCTAACATAAAAGTTCAAAAATACAAGTCAAATCAAACATTAGGAGTTACTATAGAGATTATTTTTGCAACTTTAATAGTTCCCTCTCTCCTTCTTAGCAGGCACACACTTTTAAACAGTGTTCGATTACTTTATCACACGCTATTTTCTTTTCCATCAGACACCTCAATTCAGTGTATATGACAGTCAGTACTCCCCACCAGCAGCACTTCAATTCTTCCTTTTAGCTGCATTACAGAAATCGTACTCCTTTCATGACCTACCACTGATATTCTTCTCAAATAAAGAACTATTCATTTATTTCTGAGCTTTTCTTTAGTGTTCAGCACTAAACTATCCAAACATTTCAGAAACATCACTGGATTTATTTCAATGACGCTCTCGTAAGATAAGGCAGCACTGTATTCATTTTGCAGGTGGAAGAAACACAAGTCACCGTTATTCAGAAAGCAGGTTAAGACTGAGTGCCCATTTTGACATGCACACAGTCCCTGCTGCCTCTATGCATTTCAGTTTTCTTTTGACAACTTGCTCCTTCCTATTTTCCAGGCACAGCACTGGCCAAGTCCTGTTTCAAGAGTCAGCATTTTTGTAAGTTTGAACCCCAAAGCACACAAAGTTGGACTTGCATTCAGTTACTGACCACCTACAGAAAGGCTGGCTGGACCATCTCTCCCAGCTGCACACAGGAGCGAGACAGCCTCAGAGGCAGAACTCAGCTGTCCAGCCTATCATTTAATCGTGTTAATGAGACAGCTATTTGCATTGCTTTCCCTAATGCCCTGCTTCATGGAGCACACACCTTTTCAACATACAGCTCAGCAAGGTCAGTCACCTCATTACCATCACAGCACACAGGGGTCCCTCCAGCTCCAGATGAGACAGTCACCTCAGAAATAGCTCATGACAATGTAAGTCAACGCCTGTGTAAGGCAACAAACAGAAATACAACTGGCTAGCTATGTAACAGAGGTTTAACAACATTTCCCACACAGCAGTCTCCGATTTCTCCCTTTTCTACAGCAATATATGGGCAAAACACAAAATATTACATGTGTAATGATGCCATTATCAGCTTCCCGCCTGCCTCTGGGCATGCCAGAGGGAATGAACTATTTAGCCATTTCTTTTCTCAGGCTCTGGAGCTCCCCATGACTTTCGGCATTTCCCACAACCAGCATCTGAGCTGGTCAGGTTATGTAAAAAAGAGCTGGGCTTTGTGTACAGATGTCAATGGGGAGCAGCAAGGCTGCGGTGTGTAACTGAATGAATAATGAGTGACTGACCCAATTGTTCTGAAACTGTCTTATAAAATTAAACTCTAAAGACCCAGGACATAATAAAATGTAAAGTGCAGTTATAGCCAGAACAACAGTATAAAGATGGCATCTCTATTTAACAAATCTCTTCCGTGTGCCGTTCCTCTTATCCATTTACTTTCTTCATAGAAAAAACCCCAAGATTCATACAACATTTCACTCCTCTGCAGAACTCACACAGCTAACAGGAAGAGTGATCAATTTTTCATTTCTTTTTAAACCATACATCCCAAACGGCATTACAAACTACGACTCAGTTGTAGAATCCGTATTGCTAATAAGGATGCACAAGCCCATGCAGACTTTCAGGTCCAGGTGACGAGTGGGGAAAAACCACTCTCTTTATACCCAGATTTCTTTTTTATGAGCATTTATCGAGTCACTGAAAAATAAATAAAGAATCACACACTGCCATTTCAATGACAGCACAACTATAAAGATAAATTTATATTAATCTGGCACATATCAATAAAGAATATCATTAGTAAATCATCATTTTGACTCAAGGTAGAGATAGCTACATTAACCACAGACTGGAATCTAAGGAATGCCTTTGTTACAACATTTCAAGCATTCATGCAGACTCTTAGAATTGTATTTGTATTATTTATGGTATGAATTTCACAGCAGTATCCTGTTTCAAATCTTTGTTAGCCTTCAGAGTGATACTGTAGGAATTCCTTATTCTTTTTAGAGATTAGCCCATCACACAATTCACACGCAGCAATCAAAACCGTGTACAAACCAGCCACAGTTACTAACTACAAACAGCTTTTAAATACGTTTATTCCTCGGTTGTTTTTTCTTCTACCACAAAACACCCTCACGGAGAAGCCCCTCAGAAGCTTTGCAATTAACTGACAAGCTAATGACCCGCAAGAGAAATCAGGTAGTCAATACCAATTCATTCTACCAACAAAGGGCTTTAACAGCCATGATCTGTTACAGGTGACTCGAACCAGAAACAGTATTTTCTTATACCACCACCCTGGAGCATCATATATTTCATTTTAAGAGGGGTATTCTATCTTAACTTAAAAGTTGCTTTACTTATTACTACCAGAGAAAATGGCTTTAGAAAGAGTTCCTTGGAATAACACTAAATTCTTGCCTGGGGAGACGTCCATAGTTTTGACTCATTGCTATTCTTCTCTGGCAGAACAGCTAATCAAGAATTTGACTGCTTGTCCCCACAGTCTCTGCAATCTATTATAAGGACCATTTAGAAGTTACTTCTCAAATTCAATATAAGCTAACTCCATCACAGAGAAAGCAAAGTTCTTGACCCAGCAGATGGAAGGACTAGTATAAGACAAGAATTCAATTAACGCAAATTTAACTGACTAAATGCAGGAAAATAAAGGGTTTTAACGCTTGCAGAACTGACAGCAATCTGCACATCATGTGTAATTTCTTCATTTATGCAGACGGCCATGTAGGCCTATCATTTAAATGGCTCGTGATGGATTTACACATGTTGGGATCCATAATGAAGAGAGAAGAAAAGGAATGTAGACTTGCTACATCCTAGGGTGTCATTGCTAGACCAGAACAGGAAAACAGGAGCTGAGGAATTGCCCTTTCTGGATAATGAATGAAGTAATACCTTGGCAAAACATGGACTTCAGCTGGAGAACTGCAGGAGGATGTGGGAATGCTGCATATTCAGGAGCTGAGGCTGACTTGGTGTGTAATAACAAACCACAGGAAAAATTTTAAGATCTGAATACTTAAAGCAAGCCAGTGCCTTTTAAGTATCTCATTTTAGTGAACTTAAAGAAAAATAGGTACTGAGTATGTTGCATTACAATAACACAGTTGGAACCTGCTGAGACAATGATGTTCATAATCAGGAATGGTGTGCTGGCAACATAAAGCAAGCCAATTCAACACAATAGGGGACAGACGGAAGACTGTTAATCGAGTGCTCTGGTTCGCACATTCCTCACTCTATCACAGGCTTCCCACATGACTGCAGAGGCCATTAAATGTCATGAAATAACAGATATTAAAAAGCTTTTTAAAGAATACTCCAAAAAGTTATGATTTACATACAGGAATCACAGATACTGTGGAAGTGGTTTTGTTCAGAGGAAGGCTGACTAGCACAATACTGGGAAGAATGGCTTTCTACTAAAGGAAGGCATGTTTCTGAACGTCTTTCCTTCCACTTTGCTAGTATACTTCCCTTTGCATACCAGGCTATTGTGCATTTATGTTTTGCTTCCTAAGAAAAAATTCAAAGAATGAAAATGGGCAAAAGGCAAGTTGTGCTGTTCTCTACATTCATGATATATAAATATACATACTGGTTAAAAAGAAACAGTTACAGTATTAATGACAAAAATATATGACAAAAAAATGTAGTCAGAATGCAGTTTCCGGAACTGCACAATAGAACACATCACACACATGGTACCAGTGTAAAATAAATAAATTCTGTACAGAAAATTCTTATTTTCATACAGAAACTAAGCACACATCTCTGATCTGAAAAGACTGAAAGACAAAAGGGCGTCCTTTAACAGCAAATATTCTTCCTCATGTTACTGTCACCTAAAAGATTATTCTAGATCCTGTTATTTCACTCTCTAGCTCCACACCACACCACAATATAGTGCTTAAGCAAAAAGCACTTTAATTTCTTTAAAACTAAGCACAAGTCAGGACAATTTAAAAGTACCCATATTTGAGTTTCTAACTCAAGAGCAACAGCCTAGAAGCCCACACTCAGAGTGTAGGCATATGAGAAAGAATGATGGGTTGAATCCTCAATTCATATGAATATGGATTGTCTCCTAGAAAAAAATATTATTAAAGAGTTGTGGGGTTTTTTTTACCATCAGCAAATTTAAACAGTTTATAGTATGTCTGAATTTGGCTCAGAGTAATGAGACTGCCTGCAAAGGATAACCTCATTCTAATGGTCACAGCCTGCAGAGAGCATGACTTTTCCAACTTT